ACACACCAACTTCCCAATATGCATTACCATAAAACAGCATTTTACCAATACCAACTTCCCAATAAGCACCACCATAAAACAGCTTTTTACACACACCAACTTCCCAATAAGCACCACCATAAAACAGCTTTTTACACACACCAACTTCCCAATAAGCACCACCGTAAAACAGCTTTTTACACACACCAACTTCCCAATAAGCACCACCGTAAAACACTTTTTACACACACCAACTTCCCAATATGCATCACCATAAAACAGCTTTGTACCCTACACCAACTTCCCAATATGCACCACCATAAAACAGCTTTTTACCCACACCAACTTCCCAATATGCATCACCATAAAAGAACTTTTTACCCACACCAACTTCCCAATATGGGTGACCATACAACAACTTTTTAGACACATCAACTTCCCAATATGCATCACCATAAAACAACTTTTTACACACACCAATTTCCCAATAAGCACCACCACAAATAGCCTTTCTCCATATTGTCTTCACTGGGAACTAGTCACCGAATATGTTTGTACATTCAGCTGTGTCGACGTTATAATGTTACGATCAATCCCACCGCTATTCGCTGGTAAAGAGTACTCCACGAGTTGGTGGTGAAGGGTAGACTAGCTGCCTTCCCTTTAGCCTATCAATTCAAAATTAGGGTCGGCTAGCGCAAATAGACGTCGAGTAGCTTTGCGCAAAATTCACTAAACAAACAAAGCGTAGGGCACTTTCCGCGACACATAACATTAGTTCTTATCAGTACCGCCACGTGGCGTATTTATATTTAAGTGACCGAGTATTTAAGTATTGTTAAAGCAACAATAAAAGTGAATCACGTGTAAATTTTTTAACGGCAGCATCTAAAATAGGGGTTCCCAAACTTTTCAAACTCATGACCCTCCTTAGTATCCAATCAGCTTCTTGGTATCTATACTCAACTGTGTGAGGGGGTGGTTACCGTTATAATTTACTTCAGTAAAGTTAATAGTTCTCTTATATTTTGTTTGCTCAAAAAAATTTAGGATCACTATTTCATAGGTAATTTCAAAACAGAAAATACGTTTATGTTTTCCTGTGTTCTGCGTATACTGTTGCTCCTTTGAAGTGGTTCTCGACCCACAATCTGGTTCTAAATTATTATTCAGCAGTTTAGTATGCCTTTGTGTATGACTATTCTAAATAGAAATTTCGTGAGCCAATCAATGTAAAACTGGAAAGGTTATTACTTCATTGTCTTTGAGTGTTTACTGGGCGTAGCTTTGGCCTAGCGGTTAGCGTGCCGGGCTGTGGGTCTGAAGGTTAAAAGTTCGCGTTCCATTAATTTTGTCCGTTTGTAGTTAAGCACAAAGCTACACAACGGAATATCTGTGCTGGTTTTTAGCGTTATAAGTCCGCAGACTTATCACCGTGTCATTGAGTGGAGTAGAGAGCGTTCCATTGCAAAAGAAAAAAAAATACTGCTCCCTCTCCGCATGTTGGGACAGTGTGTGCGTTATAAGAATAAAAATCGAAAATCAAGCCATTCGATTAGAGTAGTTCAAGAGGTTGGCGATGCGTGTTATTGACTAGTAACTCTCTCTAGATTATCAGTTCAAATTAGGGAGTTAGTAAAGACAGCTTTACGTAAATATTAGGAACTACCACTTTCAGCGTTTACAAAGTCTAATAGAATATACAATGTATTATAAACAAATTGATTAATTATCCATCTGTCAAATACTCCAATATGTGTTATTGAAATTTTAATACATTTTTGAAGGGATAACAAGGGTTCAGATAACCAATTAATTCCTTTCAAAGTTTTCCCCAATGTACCAACCTCAGAACTTTCCGGTGGTATAAACCCGTTTCATAAATTTACAACCTTATTAACAAGTTTCACTTCACCTTCACTCAAGCACAACTCTCCAAAGACGCTTCACAAATCGAACAACTCAATTTTCATGTTTTCAATGTATTTTCAAAACTTTTCTTATTCTAATTAAAGCAATTCGAGACCGCATTTCGTCATAGCCTAAACCTAATGTACCGATAAACCATCACAGTAACCACATTTCTCTTTAAACAAGTAAGTGTTAGGCCCAAACAGAACACCCTGCACAAGTTATGACCTAATCACTGCTATATACAGCGGTAGCGCCATCTTTAGTTTTACTTTTGAACTAATATTTCAGTAAGTACATCTTAAACTTTTACTAGTTCTTACACACTAAGTCACGTTGTCTTCAAAACCTCACACTGCAGATATCTATACCACAAAGTTACCTCAAGTCATGTCAGTTTTCCCATAAAACTAGCTCACCAATGTAGATAATCAATACACAAACTTCACGAGATACATTTTTAATATTTGAATTACAATCTCAACTTGTTAATTCTTGTAACTCTCAGTCGTATGTAGTGCCACATCAGCTTGTAACTCTCAGTCGTTTTGTTCGAGCAAACCACAACAAATACAAAGAAATGTAGTTGAACTGGTATTATTGGAAAGTGACATCCCAAACAGTTAATCACTAATTGCATAAAAACAGTTGCACCGTACACTGGTGATAGATTACTAGAACAAAAATGTCAAAGAAAAATCTTGTTTTATATATGTATTCAAAAGAAAATGTCTTACATTTACAAACAAACACACAGCCTACTTTTGCTTTCACTAACTAAACCAAGCTACACATCGCACACTAATCTGGAAATATTTTACAAATATGAACAATTTGCTCCTTTTAGACTAAGTAACTTGTGTACTAAAAACAATAACAAGTGTTAACACAGCGATGATAAGTCTGACAAATGTATAGGTCTGGAAATGTTTTACAAACTGAGAATCACGTGATGCATTCATTGCTTAACAACAACAAATTTACGTTGTTGCAGCTTAACAACAAAGTGACCATTTATCACAATACTTACAATAACATTATCAACACGAGAAAAGCTTCTGTCTTCTAAACAGGACAAAGACGATCACAGAGAACAAGACTCGAACCAGGTGGGTGAGATCAAGTCTCTCTACAGCTGCCTCAAGGCTGATTGGTGTTTTAGATCCTGGTAGTCTTGACGACTACCAGGATGCCTGCTCTGTTATTTCTGTCATCACATTGTTTTTTTTTGTTTTTTTTAATAGACTTAGACTTCTGTTTCAGGTCACGCCAGTTTCACACATCATTCACCATATTTTCGGCTACAAATTTCTTTTTAACCAATACCGTGATAGGGACTGATCTGACGTCGTTTCCTTAATACGTTCATACCCAATACCGTGGCATCGACTGATGTGACGTCATTTCCACTAAACTTTAATGAAAGTTGGCTCTGAATATTCTCAAACATCTCTAAGAAAAGAAAAAGAAAACGAGTTACACATAAGTAAGATCACATCGCGTCGAAATTCATTTTCCATACAAAGTATGTGATTCTTACAATGTTTCACGTACGTATTTCTAATTATATTATGTTACAATTCAAAACGCTATTCGAAAACCTAACCGTTGTTAGGACTAGTACTCTTCTGACTGTGTAGACTAAGCTGGGGGGATACTACAAGAGAATGGTAAAGCTACAACTCTTCTAGCCGAGGGGATATTAGAAGAGAATGGTAAAGCTACAACTCTTCTAGCCGAGGGGATATTAGAAGAGAATGGTAAAGCTACAACTCTTCTAGCCGAGGGGATATTAGAAGAGAATGGTAAAGCTACAACTCTTCTAGCCGAGGGGATATTAGAAGAGAATGGTAAAGCTACAACTCTTCTAGCCGAGGGGATATTAGAAGAGAATGGTAAAGCTAGAACTCTTCTAGCCGAGGGGATATTAGAAGAGAATGGTAAAGCTAGAACTCTTCTAGCTGAGGGGATGTCACAGAATTGAGGCAGGACTAGAATTGAAAAGCCTTCTAAGGAAATGGAGCGCGGTAACGTTTCATTGTGAGAATACATATTGGAGAGTTAGATGGAGGTTGAAGTTTAATTCCAGTTTTGTTATTTTCACAACGAAACGTCATCGCACCCAATTTCCTCAGAATATTTTAATTCTAACTTATGGATATAATGATCACGAAATGTTGAAAAAATGAGTTAGAACTCTTCTAGTTCTGTGACAAGGTGACAAAACCAGAACTCTTCTGACTAAGTTGAAGGGAAATCAGAGGAGGGTGGTGCTACTAGAATTATTCTAGCTGTGAGACTATCAAAATTAAGAGTGGGGTAGAACCAAAATATAATTTTCTCCATATTTTGTCTTGAATCATTTCAATTCTTTGTTAAAAGAAGAACCATCTATGTTCACGATATTTAAAGCAGGTGTGAGATAATTCTGACGAGTAAGGGTTTTGATTTCTCAATTATAACATACTCTCTACGAAAGATCAAGTAAAGGTTATTTTAAGCATTTATACGGTTACCGTACTATGAATATAACCGCAACGTACTCTACATTTTAGAAACTGTACAGGAGGTATACTAATATTGAAAACCACAGATACCATGAAATGTCAACGTATAACAGGAATTAACATATTAAACACCGGACACAAACAGATGTCATTTTACACCAAATTAGGTGCAAGAGAGTCTAGTATGCATTATATTAAAATATTTTATGAACCTCACCCCGTCGTTACAATCTATAACGTCACACCTGATCGTGCTCTATCTGAGAAGAAGAACAAGTGGTATGTCTTATACCAGAGTTATGACGGAGCCTTTTGCAATGGAAAGTAAGCAACAGGGCAATTGTCAAGATGCACGGTCATCAGATTGAGCATGACAGGACGTGGCGACATGGACTGCGACGGCATGGTAAAGCTCCAAAATCGTCTTAACATGACGTATTTAACCTCTGAACCACAGGCCTCTCCTTAAATTCAGTTTCTTGTTAGTTTTGTCTTGCTTTATTTCATATATCATAAGGAAAATTTAATTACTTACGAGGACTTCAGTGACCAGTTGTTCAACAGGAACTCTTTCATTTTTCGCAATTCTTCTGTGGAAAGCCTTTCTCGAGAAGATCCTTCGTTGACGGTGGCTTGCACTGCTGAAATCCCACTCCCACATCGCCGATCCTCATTGTTGTCTCCCTCCAACAAGAACGTGGGCAGCTGTAGGTATTCGTTCCCTCGTTGTCCATCGGTAAAGGCTGTCTGTTCAAAACCTTCTCGTGCTAGTGGATCCTCTGATGAATCGGAACTCTCGAAACGAGGGTCCAGTTCTGTATTCCGTGCACGTAACTGAATTGAATCTGCACTGTTTATATAACTAGAGCTATACGTTGACTCGAATCCGAGGCACTTATCGATATGCTTGTTTTGACGGAGCTTGTCCCGTGAAATCTCTGCCATCGGACCCCGACTGCAACTTTCGTGTTGCTTAGGGTTCCATGACAGTCGTTTGTGGACTCTCAAGTCTCCCATTTCCGCACAATCTGCTACGTTGTAACGTTGAATTGCACGTGCGACCTTCTTCACGTGCAGTTTCATGCTCCCTTCATCGTCGGAATCTGGAGTAGTCCTTCCGGAACTGGTCAATCCGACTACGTTATCACTCTCGAAACTGTGCACAGGACTGGGCCTCTGACTGGGTGGGGCGCTGTGGGTCGTGAGTCCTGATATATTCTTGGTTTTCAGAAGTGGGGGCTTGTGGCTGAAGTGGCTATGACGAGGTGAAACACGAGGAGAAGTTGGTGAAGTGACAGGAGGTCGTGAAGGGGATAGAGTCTTGGCTAACGGAGAAATCACAGGTACCTAGGTATGAAGAAACAGCTTTCATAAAAAACCTCCGAAAATACGACTTTTATTCATATAACATTATGTGCTACAGAAGACATTATTTTCTAATCTGTTTGTTTGTTTGAAGTTAAGCACAAAGCTACACAATGGGCTATCTGTGCTCTGCCCACCACGGGTATCGAAACCCGGTTTCTAGCGTTGTAAGTCCGCAGACATACCGCTGTGCCACTGGGGAGCATTTTCTTATCTAAATATGTTTGTTAGTATAATAAGCTAGAGCGACATATAGTTTTAAAGGTTAAATGGTTTTTCTTTCCGATATCACACGAACTACAGCAATTAAAGAACATAAACTCTAGTCAACGTAACAGCGCATCGGTAGCTCAGTGGAGGTTTATAACACTAAAGATCAGAGTTCGATACCCACGCTGGACAAAGCACAAATGGCCCATTGTGTAGCATTGTGCCTAACAACAGACAAGCAAACAAACTGACGTAGCAAGATAGCTGGAAAATTCTAATTACCCTAGTTTTTCCTGCCAACCGAAAATTCATATTTTAAAAACATTTTTTTTAATATATTTAAACAAGTATCACAAAAATACTCTGTAATAAATAGAAGATAAAACGTAGAAAAATTACGTAACTTTTAAATCTAAGACAGGAAAGGCACTTCTTATTGCAACGGAAAAAACTGAAAATTAAGTTAAAATTTTAACTTAATATCGTAGTTACCTGTACAAGTAATTTTGTGCGTATTTCATATTGGACAAGCAATAATCGTTACAGCTCATGCGTGAACAGCAGATAGTTAAGGAAGTCGCTGTTCTTATATTTATGGCAAACCTACAAAATTTGTTTGTTTTTGAATTTCGCGCAAAGCTACACGAGGGCTACGTGCGCTAGCCGTCCCTAATTTAGCAGTGTAAGACTAGAGGGAAGGCAGCTAGTCATCACCACCTACTGTCAACTCTTAACAATTAATAGTGGGATTGATCGCACATTATAACGCCCCCACGGCTAAAAGGGGCGAGCATGTTTGGTTTGACGGGGATTCGAACCCGCGACCCGCAGATTGCGAATCGAGCACCCTAACCACCTGGCCATGCCGGGCCAACCTGCAAAGGCTATCTGTTGCCATCCCTAATTTTGAGCTACTGACCAAAGGAAAGACCGCATCCTACTATCCGCCATTTACATTAAGGAATTGACTGTCACTTCTCTTATAATGCATCTACAACTTAAAGTGCGGGGAACAGTGTGTTGTTGCACGGTTTAGAGCTTGAATAGCGAGCTGTGAAATCCAGAGTTGAAACAAATCATTCTCAAAACATTCTAACCAATTATGTGTAATATTTTGCGGGTGTTGAACCCCACCTTATAGAGCCATAAACCAGCAAGTTTACTGCTTCGCCACCTCGGGGGAGGACTTTGGGATTTCGTTTTTTTTTTTGTTTTTTTTTCCCTTTTGCAGGCTTATTTTCGACCTTTTAATAGGCACAATACGAGTCAGGATTTGTTAAAGGAAACTGATAAAACAGGTATAAATTAGAAGTTGGTACTTTACCTGTATAGAACGAGGTGGAGATATCGTTTCATGCTCTCTCTGTTCCCCTAAATCACCTATATGGTAAGCAGATTTCACAGACAATGTATTGGGAGTGGATGATCCTGAACCAGCGCCTCGCAGAAAGAATGCTCTTCTTTCTGGACGCGGTGACGTCACTGTCACGCTGATGGGACCGTTGCGGGTATCCAAACTACTAGCCCGAACCCATTCTCCTTCTTCGCTACTAACACTTGAATTTCTTAGATCGCCTAACTCAAAGCTTGTTGCTTTATTGTGAGCTTGGTTAACCTATAAACACAAACAAGAATAATTGTCTTTCGAATCTTTTCCCTCTGCAAGATTACAGAGGGTTGAGTGCGTTATATTAAAACGATTTTGGAGCCCTATCACGTCGTTACAGTCCATGTCGCTAAGTCACGCTCTATCAAACGACGGTACATCTTCAGAACAGTCCTGCGGGTAGTTTCCACTGCAAAAGGCTCCATCATAGGCTGTCATGTTCAAATCTCACACCTTCTGTTGGCTTTCCATAATCCATCTAGTGTACGATGACGGTGGTTTCCCAACTCCCTTTTCAACAGTTAGAACACACAGAAATTCCTAGGCGCTGTGTAAGGCTACTTAATCAGCATGTCTTCGTATGGAATAGCATGAATACCCGTAACTCTTCAGCTATTTGAGGCACGCGACAGTTGAACGAATATGCTGTAGAAGCAATTGGTGTACACGTGACTTGTTTTGCTTTTCCAGAAAGAAATCCTTATGTTACCTGCTGCAGACTGAGGCAAGTAGTTAGTGTCTGCCACTGACCTTTGAGTTAATGTATTTTTCCTCACCTGTTACATGACGCTACACTTTGCTTAACATGGCTGGGGTAGCGACTTGTTGCAGATCTGTTTTTAAATGGCCCTGGTACCCCAAGTTGATCCATATTCCTTTGTTTCCAGATGGCATTAAGTAAAAGGAATATCCCCGTCTTTGTTAGATATTCTAAATCTATGACCTGAACAATTTTTTTTATGATACAAGTGTATTAATATTTTGTGTCGGAAAGAGTTGTTACATTCCTTCCCAAAAGCGATTAGTTTTCGGTGACTACTAAGCAATGTCAAAGTGTAGTTCTGGTGCATTCCGTTTCATCACGACTTTATATCGGCTGCGATTGTCCCGCGACTTGCCGATTTTTAATTCAAAATCGTCTTAATATAATGTACTCAACCGTTCTGTATTTTCATTTATGACTTTTTGTATTAACCTAAAAATTCCAAATTGTATTGTTGTTGGTGTTCACAAAACTATCCAAGTAAAATACAACCTCCAGTAAGTATTACATCTCTAGCATAACTTGAGTTTTTTGCATCAATAATTACAGGATCGTATGATATTAACTGAATCACTGAAGTCTATAAACTCCAGAAAAACCAAATGCTATTGTGAACGAAAGTAGTACCAAATAAAGTATAAAATCTAAGTGTACTGTCTGTAAAAGGTTGCGAACTACAAAATAGTCTGTAAATTTCTTCACATGGAAGAAAAACTATGTTAGCACACACTCTTACATCTAACCAGTGACACATGTTAACAGTTCCAAAGGAAAGTATAAACTAGTTGATTTCATTAGTCGAACACAAAAACCAATAAATCAGGTCCACATTCATATACAGTAACTGGCAGACACAAATGTTTGTAGTTTCTAAACGTCTAAGAGAACAGGGTAAGAACCAAGAAAAGGGCCACTGACAGATATACACAACAATGGTACTTAAAGCTGTGGATGATCTACAAACAGGTGTAGACAAGGAATCTACTAACAACAAAAGGGCCACTGACAGATACACACAACCATGGTACTTAAAGCTGTGGATGATCTACAAACAGGTGTAGACAAGGAATCTACTAACAACAAAAGGGCCACTGACAGATACACACAACAATGGTACTTAAAGCTGTGGATGATCTACAAACAGGTGCAGACAAGGAATCTACTAACAACAAAAGAGCCACTGACAAATATACAGAACAATGGTACTTAAAGCTGTGGATGATTTACAAACAGGTGTAGACAAGGAATCTACTAACAACAAAAGGGCCACTGACAAATATACAGAACAATGGTACTTAAAGCTGTGGATGATTTACAAAAATGTGTAGACAAAGAATCTACTAACAACAAAAGGGCCACTGACAGATACACATGACAATGGCAAAGTTGTGGAGAATTTACAGACAGGTATGGATGAGAAAACTCCTTGTGCCAAGATGATCTACAAACAGCTATAAAGTTACATACATTCTGTAGACCATATGCAGATGTGGTGGAGATGGAGTCACTCATGTCAACGGATCCACTGTGGGAGTGGACCAAGCTGGATCGACTTGAGCTACGGAGAGATCGGGGCTCGAGGCGGATGGTAGAAGTAAATTCTTCTTCTTCCTCATAGCTTGCTTGCAAGAAACCTAATCCTCTTCTTTCCTTAGATGTCCGTTTAGCTTCTTGGTACAAATCCTGCAAGAGATAATGCATATCAGATTTTCGTAGATATGTCATCACGAAGGTTAAAACATAATAGATTTGTTAGCGTTTTGATTTTTTTTTAATTTGCTTTAAGTTTCATGAAATAAATGTTTTTCTTCCCAACACAGATGGCAAAAAGTCGTTGTCTGGATATTTTAGAAAGTCAATTAAAAGATAAAACACGGCGAAAACAACAATCATAACTGAAATAATTCATTCGTAGAATGATGATTGTTCTATAAAGATAAATGATACAACAGCTTAAAATATAATTAATATAATAATATGCATTGTGTATGTGTGTCACGTAACTCCTTCTGAACTGCTGGTCGTACGGACTTCTAACTAGTGCCAAAAGAATCGTCTTGGTCCCGAGATTTACAAGGTGGTAGAATTTTTTACCCCATCCCTTGGGAATCCGGAGATTTTCCGAAGATTCCTTCTCCTGAACTACTGGACTCACTAATATCTAACTGGTGCCAAAATAATCGTCTCAACCCCGAGGTTTGCATAAACGTAAAACTTTTCACCCAACCCCTTAGAAAACCGGGTATTCCGCGAAAACACCTATATGGGGATTCCACGAAAGCGGACACCAAAAGCGGCATTGATTTACATAACAGCACGTACACAATTAGTCCTACTAATTACCGTTCGTAATTTGGTTACAAAAATTAACGATCATTGCAAATATAAACTGAAAAAAGTGCAAAATAGTAGTTCAAGCATTAAATTTACATTATAGCGGCCCTGTAAATGTGGGCCTGTGGCCCACGGGTTCGCTAGTAAATAAATAAAATACAGGGTTTCCTTAAAAGTTGTTTATTAAAGCAGTCAGCGGCTCCCATTTACAAACACTACATGTTTCGACGCCTTCTACGTTCATTTACAGCAGATTTGTTTACAATATGTATATTTTTCTTTTTTTTACATGTCATACGGTATTAGAGTTTCCGTGTTATTTACATAACTCACTGACTTACATTTACAATACGTAACGCAATGACTTGCTAGCCCTTCATCTTGGTTCACGTAACGCAATGACTTGCTAGCCCTTCATCTTGGTTCAATATAATTCGTTTCCTTATTTTATTCTATATCATTTCCAACGAGGTTTAGCTAGAATTGTAGTTTTGTCCCATAAAATCGTGTGGTGGACACAGATAGTCCACTGTGTAGCTTTGTCCTTAACAACGAACTAATAATAATAATAAAAAATGATCCGTCAAGTTAGCTCGTAGCCTAATACCAAGAATGTTCGAAACTTAACCTTCGTGATATTAATATCAACTTCAGAACTACCTACTTAAACTTAACCTTCGTGATATTAATATCAACTTCAGAACTACCTACTTAAACTTAACCTTCGTGATATTAATATCAACTTCAGAACTACCTACTTAAACTTAACCTTCGTGATATTAATATCAACTTCAGAACTACCTACTTAAACTTAACCTTCGTGATATTAATATCAACTTCAGAACTACCTACTCATAAAAATAAAATATTAACCCAGTTATGAATATGGCTAATTAAATATACTGTTTTTTATTATTATAAAAATTATAATACTGTGTTTCATCACTTGGGTACCCTCGCTAGTAATATTTTCAGATGTAAAGCCAATAATATCTAACGAGATTTGTCTAGCTTGGAGTTTCAGGTTAGTCCTAAATATATATGCTAAGTTAATAATGCAAAATATTTTGTATGATAAAAATATAAAGATTAAACATAACATTATATTTTATTATTTCCAACGATTCTCGGATATTTAGTTAGAAATTTAATTTTTGTCCCATAAATATTGCGTGGTGTGTTGTTTTTACGTGTTCTGAATTTTCTACTTGGTTGTTTCTTACATTTTTCGTTATCGGTAAAAGTAGAGACGTTAACACTTCAGATCTGAAGAGGTCGACTTCTGCTCTTACCTGTGCTCGTCGTATGGTGTCCATCCATATCTTGAACTCTGAGGTATAAAGAACGAAAGCAGCCACGGCTACAAGCAGTTCACTCAGATAGATTACCACGAAACCCCCACCATCTTTAAGTTCCTGCATCTTGAACTTGTCCACTAAATACGGCTGTCGGATGATACGAACCTTGTCTCCTTTCTTCCCCACGGGCTTGCAAATAAGGAATAAGTCCGTAAATAGAAAGCAGTGAACGTCCATCTAGGAGTCGAATATAATGAAAATATATATATATACATTTTGGTGAAAGTTGAGAAAAAATAATTCATTTAGCAGTAGTTATTATTATCACATTATTTTTGTATTTCATTTATTTATTTAATGAGATTAAATATTAAATGAATTTTTACATTTCTATGCTTATAATATATTTTAGGTATAAAACTCTCCACCAAGATATTATGTAGAATAGAACACTTTGCTGACTAAAGAAGAAAAAAAAGTTGATAAACTACTTTATCATAAACTAAAAAATAACTAACTATAAAAAAATATTACATAAAATACCTTGCGTTCATTTTTTATTTAAGCTTAAAGAAATAAGAAACATTTAAACTTTGTTTTTACCTTGCTACTTAACAAGGAGCGTTCATGTTTATACTTAGGCCTAAAGGAATACAAGCTTTTAGGCTTAATTTTTACCTTACTTGATGAAGAGTCTCGTAACTTCAGACCAGAACCTTCAAGTAATAGCTGTCTAATCTGATGGTTTCCACATCCAGGCATAGGGCATGTAAGGTCAAGGGTCAGGTAACCATTTTCCTTCATCATCTGAGATGAAAATAGAGTGACAAACCAATGGAAATCAAATTTCATGTATAACTTTTTTTTTCTAGGACTAGTAGGTCTCAGTTAAACCCATTAAACTTGTACTGATATGTAATATATTATAAATAAATTAAAAAGAAAATTAAATATACTAATTACTTTTAAAAGTTAAATGATCCAAACTGTTTGACGTGTTAGTACTATTATCAAACAATAAAGATATACGTTTTCCCTTTGAATTCCTCAAGCTTTGAACGTGAGTTTTATAGTGATAATGTTCGCCGCGAGGATAGACCCCCCCCCCCTCATATTCTAGCGTTATAAGCTTTGAAGCTTACCACTGAGCACAAGGAGGGGAGGGGGGGGGAGAAGAAGAGACATTTTGTAAAATAAAACGAAATTGACCGCGCTTAGGACTAAAAGAGCGGTAACAAAACGTCATTCATATTGCAGAGAATCGTGACAATAATTCAAAAATTCACCTTATTTTCTTTTTTGTTGATGTTCAGGTGTTTCGTATAAACTAGAAAATAGGATTTCAGTAAATAACTTACACCAGATATCCTAAAATGCTTAGATAGTGTACAGATCCACAGACCAATGACAATACTGGCTTTACCGCCAGGTGGCATGCATTCTTAGAACACACACACACACACACACACCTTGCATGGACTCCGATTGGATATTCCATTGATATGATGTAAATCTGTGAGCAAGTAATTTTAGAAATTACGGATGTTTCACCACATATTATCTTACCGCCAGTGGCATGCATTCTTAGAACACACACACACCTTGCATGGACTCGATTCGGAT